GGGACTGGCCTAAGGGATTTTAAAGGGGTTTTAATTACTTTTAATTTGACATATTTAAATATTTCGTTTTAATTAAATTTTAATTAGGTATAATATGTATAATATGTTAGTATTTTATCCAATTGTCAGCCGCCCTGAGTCCGCAAGGAGAAGGGCGGGATATAAATGTAATTAATAAATAAATAAATAAATAAATAAACTTAGTGAGACCTTATATTTTGTGTTCTCAGATTGGAATGTACTGTATTATTGTACCAAATTGGTGATGGCGTAATTTATTATTATGTACCATGCCTGAAAATAATTGCTACTACTACTGCCTAGGTGGTAGAACTGTACTGCTATGGAACTATTAGATGCCAAATTTTAATGCATTTGTGTTTTTCTTTTCACAGCTCCTCAATCCATTGGCCATATCATTGGCTATATAATTGCTGCGGTGCTGGTTATTGCTATTGTGGCTGGTATAGCTTATTTGGTAAGCTATAACCAAAAGATTGGGATCTACCATCTGCGGCAGAAAGGGAAGCAACGGCAATCACCACAAGCTGCTCAAAACTCAGTGGAGCAAAGATTCCTGAACGGCAAAGCAAATGTCTAAGCAGACCTGTGTTTACTACAAACTGAAGAACCACTTGTCCCAATGCCAGCGAGATTGTAGCTGTGTTCAGTGTTCATCACTCAACTTAGCTGCAGAGGAAGAGGATGTTGATTACATGCCATCAAGTCGTTATTTATTTATATTTATTTATTTAAAACACCTGTTGCTGGCCATCTTTCCACCAGCTCTGGGTGGCTCCCAATCAAAGATTAGGGACCACATTGATAGATTTTCTCCATGATGTGGAAGAAGAGATATGGGAAACTGTTCTTCAGCTCCTGAGCATTTGATGGGCAGTGGTCCAACTGGCCTTAGTTTTTGGACTTTGGAGGGGTGATGATAGTAACTTCTGCACTTTCAGTGAGTGGCAGTGCTTAGGCCTCCTGTCTTTTTCTGAAGCTCTCCTCTACCATCTAAGTGGACATTCAGACTTTTCCTTGAAAAAGCAATCAGGAACTAAAGGTGGTCTTAAAGTTTTTGGGCTACCTCCAGGAGGAGGCATTACTGGGAAACCACTAAGAAGTACTGGAATAGGAAGAGGGTGTCTGCAACACACCGCTTGGGCTTTTCCTGCAATAATGGACAACTCAGCCATAGAGTGTAAAGCAGACATGTCAAACTCGTGATGTCACATGATGTCGCACAACGTATCGGGACGGTTTTGCCATTGCCGACAATGGGGTGGGGGCAGCTTCCGGATGACGCGTCTGGCCCACGGGCTGGCAGTTTGACACCCCTGGTGTAAAGCATCTTCCAGATTTCTCCTCACACCGTTAAATTAAAAATAATACCATAATCATAAGCAACATAGTAAAATTCTTTAGTCCTTTGTGCTCTCTGAGCTTGGATGTTTTCTTGCAGACATTTCATTACCCAACTGAGTAACACCATCAGTCCTAAAAGGGAGTGGAGTTTGCTCTCTGTTTATATAGAGATGGCCTGCCTGTCATAATGATGGGGGTGTTCTTGGTAGTTCCTTAATTAGGCTGTTCTTTACTGTTCGTTTGTTTGAGTTAGCAGTTCCTTGACAGTGGTATTGTTTACTGCTTGTTGGTTGGTCTGGTATTAATCCTGGTGTTAAGCTCTGCTTATCTGGGTTCTGATTGCTGGTGAGGAGGTCTTTTTGCTTCCTGTTTAGCTTTTTAATTGTCTCTTTTGAATGAAATGTAGATGCTATTTTTCACTATATGTCTACTGATAGCTAATTTGTCTGAGTGCCAGACTTCCAGGAATTCTCTAGCATTTCTTGGACTTAGCTTGGTCTAGGATACTCATAGTTTCCCAGTTGAAACTATGGCTAAATCTTTCCATGTGTTGTGCAATTAAGGAGTTTTCATTATGTCTTCAGACTGCTAGTCGGCATTCTCAAAAACTCCTTTCTCTTTCTGCAGATTTGCACCTACAAATTTTCACAGCACATGCCAGAAAGTTAGAGCCTTTTTCTATTTTTAAATAATAGTACATGAGTTCATGATTATTAAAATGCCACATTCCATAACGCTAAGTCATATTTCCGAATGCTGGGAAGAAATCCCTGAGGTACAATGATTCAGAACTAGCCTCTCCCAGTGATGGTTTCTCAACTCAGTAAGTCTAACCTTCCCATGCAGTTCTTGGTTTTACATATGTGTCTTATTGTTGGGAGAAGAAAATAATGGTGCGGGCCTCTATGTTGAATGAGTTATGTTCCCAGGAAAATAGAAGAGATGGCTAGGGCACTATTTCTGCTCTGATATCAGCAGAGTTTCTGTCATGGTTCACATTCTTATACAAAAAATAGTAGAACCTGAATAAAGACTATATGGGAGAAAAAGATCTTTCTGTTATTTATAACTGGATAAAGAGGAAAATAACCTTTCCCCCTCAAATCAGTAAAACAGGTTGCTTTTCTTAGTTTGCCATTGTCACTTTTGACCTTCAAAACCTTCCCCCACTCTTTTTGGGCTGGGCCCTCTAGGCATTTTTAAGCAACAAAATTTATAAAAGCTCCAGTGAAAGCAGCATGCAACCATAAAGGTGCATTCCACCCTCCCTTCTTTATTTTGTTAAGGAGATCCTACTTTGAGTCCTACTTCATGGTCATCTGGGAGGAGGAAGTGTCTTGAGAAAAAGGAGTATTATTCTTTTTTTGCAGTGTATACTTAAACACTTGGTATAATTGGACAGCCTTCTTCAGAGATGCTTTAATTTGCATCCTGGCACTTAGCAAGGGTAGAACAGTAGTTCTGAATTGGTTGTATGTATGCTGCAGATGGGACTTAGCAGGAAACTGAGAGTACCTGTGTGCAACTCACGTTCATTGCTAACTCACTGAAACTTCAAGCACTGTGAATGACTGAATGACAATATGACCACTTGTCAGCATATGATATGTTTTATATGTAGGTAAATAATACTTATGTCTTGGGGGAGGGAGGAAGCCTTTTTGCTTCTATCGTGCTGGGACCCAGTCCTTGAAAGAACAACTGATGGATGTTAAGATACAGAAGGCTGAGAACCACCGATTTCAGTATGTAATATTCTTTTGTGAGGAAAAAGAAAATGCAATCACTTGTGTTGAAGGATTCTTCTTGGCAGAAAGAAATGCATTTGTGGCAGAAAAGAACTCTCTGATAAATTGAAAGACAAAAAGGACAAGTATAAAAAGTGGAAAGAGGGGCACATAACTAAGGCAGAATATCAGCAAATAGCCTGAGCCTGCAAAGATGAAGTGAGGAAAGCTAAGGCTCAAAATGAACTAAGTCTTGCGACAAAAGTTAAAAATAACAACAAAAAAAAGCTTCTTTCAACATGTAAAAAACAAGAAAAAAGTTAAGGAAATGATTGGTCCATTAGTGGGAGAAAGTGGCAAGAAGGTGACAAGCAACAGGGAGAAAGCAGAACTATTTAACTCGTTTTTTGCATCCGTCTTTACACAAAGGGAAAAAACAGTGCAACCTATCAAAAAAAGTACTGTAAAAAACAGATTAGAAACACAAGTTAAGATAGGCAAGAAAATGGTGAGCACCTGTCCACCCTAGACAAGTTCAAATCACCAGGACCAGATGGATTACACCCCAAGGTTCTGAAGGAACTGGAGGATGTGATCTCAGAACCACTGAACTATATCTTTCAAAAATCCTGGAGCACTGGGGAATTACCAAAGGACTGGAAAAGAGCTGGTGTAGTTCCCATCTTCAAAAAAAGGAAAAAAATGGATCCAGGAAACTACAGATCTATCAGCTTGACCTCAATATGTGGGAAGATTCTGGAAAAGATAATAAAACAATGAATCAGTGAATACCTAGAGACAAACAAAGTCATTACCAAAAGCCAACATGAGTTTGTCAAAAACAGATCATGCCAGACAAATCTTATTGCATTCTTTGACCAGGTGACAAAATTTGTGAACCAGAGGAATGCTGTGGATATAATTTACTTGGACTTCAGTAAGGCATTTGACAAAGTAGATCACAACCTACTACTTGATAAGATAGAAAAATGCGGGTTAGACAGCATCACCACCAGATGGATCCGTAGCTGGCTGACTGGCCGTACTCAGCGTGTGGTCCTCAATGGAACCGCATCTACATGGAGGGAAGTGTGTAGTGGGGTGTCCCAGGGCTCTGTTCTGGGTCCAATGCTCTTCAACATCTTCAATGATTTGGATGAGGGGATAGATGGGAAACTCATCAAATTTGCAGACAACACCAAGCTGGCAGGAATAGCCAACACTCCAGAAGATAAGCTTAAGATACAAAAGGATCTTGACAGACTTGAACATTAGGTGCTATCTAACAAAATGAAATTCAATGGTGAAAAAAAGTAAGATTTTACATTTAGGCAAGAAAAACCAAATGTACAGGTACAGTGTAGGACGGGTCTCCTGCTTGAGCAAAAGGTTTGACTGGAAGGCCTCAAAAGTCACTTCCAGCTCTGTTATTCTGTAGGCTTAGTACTTTTCTCATGTACCCTTGCAATCCTGAGAAGAAAGGGAAAATAAACTGGATGTTTGAAAAGAACTACTGCAAACTTTTTAGTTTCATAAAAAAGAAAAAAAAGGCAGAAAAAAATATGGGTGATTTTGAAGACACAGTTGGATCGTGTTGTGCTGGTGAACACAGTAATTAAGAACCTTTGGCCATATAAGGAACAATGTCATGTTTGTAATGTTAGTTTGTACAAATGGCCCTTATGAGCTAAATCCAGTGGATTCTCATGCAGTCAGAACCAGTAAAATTGGAATAGGACAGTTGCTTTTGACTGAATAGACCAATCACACTAAAGTGCATCCAATTGCTCTGGCTTGCTCAAACTGGATCTCTCATTCCTTACCACTTCATGAAATCAAATAGATCTAAATGCATTTGATGATGGCTTTGGGGACCTGACTCATTAGGATGGAAACATTCATGTGTGCGGGAGGGGAGAAGCGTCCAATTACTCTTCAGGGGTAAAATATTGGGGGCAAATTGAAATAGGAAATGTTTTCTTATCAGTCATGGACATTAGCTTGAAATGTAAAGAAGGTGTCTTAAGATATAAAATAGCAATATTTGATCTATTTATGAAATGTAAAAGTACAATATATGCAGATATAGTAGCACCAGTGCTTTTTTTCTAAAAAAAAAAAAAAAAAAAGGTGCCAGAACTCACACAGGTCATACAACCCGCCTTGCCTACCCTACAAGGTTCCATCCAAAAAAGGTGCCGGAACTCCGTTCTGGGTGTTCTATGAGAAAAAAAGCCCTGAGTAGCACACTCTCATAGTGCATCCCAAAAATTGAAGGTACAAATTCCTTTTTCTTAAGTTATCAAATGGAGATGGTTAGTGTGGGAAAACAAAAAGTGAAACCATAAAGAACCACCGAGACAAAGGAAATTCATTAGCATTTGAATTTTTATGTAATATTAGACCTTAGTATTTACATATCGAAATGGAAAACTGGGTATTTTTAGAGGTACTGCTAAGACAAAAATGGCTACAGTCATTTGACACACAAAATGATATGAATCATGGAGGCTGGTAGTGAAATGTTGAGAATGGCTGACCAAAAACAGTTATTGAAAGAGGCAATTAATAGATTTCAGTGATCAGGGAAAAAGGTGATTTCTTGGGCGGGAAAACTAGGACCGGAAGTATGGGCTCAGTGAGCCTTAGTGAGGAGGAAGCAAGTGTTTCCTGAAACTGCATAAATGTTAACGAGCTTGGCAGACGTAGTCGATAACTGTGCTTCCAGAAGCCACTTGCAGTTTTGAGTGTAGGAGCTCATTCTGCCTCTGTTTCTTGCTTTCTCCTGATCTGGATTTTGGACTACCTCTCTCAGGGAATCAACCCAGACCACTGAGAGTGCAACATGCAGAAATTTATCTTCTTTTTTGCCGTAGGAGCCTGGGCTGTTACTCAAGGTAAGGAAGGAAACCTCCATGTTTCTCCTACTGATTTGGTGCCTCTCTGAGATTAATCAGATCCATTGATTCTCCGCATCTCACAACAATTCACCCTTTCATCCTGGATTGCTGTACCCCAGGGATGGTGACAGAGGGCCCCATTGAAGGAACGTGGCTTCATCACCAGTATTAGTGGAGAGATGTGGGGTTCAAAAGGCACATTTTCTTTCCATTCCTAAAACTGGCATTCCCTCAGATGTCGCGTGGCAAAGCACGAAAAGGAGACAAGCGTTCAGAAGGAGCCCGATAAAATGTAATTTTAGTGGGAAGTGGGAATGAGATTAATGTCCATATTGCACATTCCTTGGAACTGGCTGGAGCTTTTTTATATACAATAGCAAACCATGTCCAGATTTGCTGCCATATCAGGCTAACCCTAGACAATGATTTGAATATGAAGGCTGGCAGGCGGAGATCAAAAACTGCAGCTTTTTGATAAGTTAATTTTATCAGAGATGCTATAGAGCTGAAAAACATTGTAACGGGGATGTTTGGACATGTTTGGGCTCTTTCTATCTGACTTTCATCCTTCAAGCACTTATACATATCAGTATGTAGAAGATCATCAAAAGGTAAAAACAACTCATATCTGCTCTACAAAATGGCTCGCCTAGGTAGCCAGTCTTTAGAAAAAAATAATACTAGTGGTATCAGAAGAAAGCAAAGCATGTATTTCTCTTTCACTATCTCCCTCTCCTAAGTGTAGTTCTATAATTTAACATCTATGACAGCAGACCCAAATCTTTTCCAGCAGACCCAAATCTTTCCCCCCCTCTCTCTCTCCTCCCCCTCCCTCCCTCCCTCCCTCTTCCTCGCTGTCTCTCCCCCTCCCTCTATATATAATTTTCAAAAATATTTTACAGTATATTAATAAATCTTTAAAGCAACAAAATAAAATAAAATGGAAGGAAAAAAAGAGAACAAAAGTAATGGCAAGAGAAGAAAACATAGTTATAGTTTCTACCCTTCTTTCTATCATCTTATTCTTTTCTCCATTTTATTTTGACCTTGTTAATTCCCAAAACCAGAAATCATCTTTTCAGTTTTTTCTTTTTTCAAAAAAAAATTCCATATAAGGTTTTCACCCAAACCATTTTCTTTAAGCTTTTGGGGACTACAACATAAATCAAGGACTGGCCGTACATAGTCCCCAGTTTCTTCAGATAGTGTCTTTAATGACACCAAAGCTAAATAAAAACTCAGTGGTTTTTTTTAAAGTTGAAATGATTACATGAGATGTTGGTGTCACCAGCATTTGGTCAAGAAAGCCAAAACCCGACAAGTTTTACTGGTTTCCCTTGTCTGGCCCATGGAAAAAATATTTATAAATATTTTTATTTTATTTTCATTAGTATCCAAGGAATATGTATATAGTATCCTTACAAACTCCAGGCTGGGAGGATCCGTTATGGATCAATGGCTTATTAGTATTAGTAAAAAAAGAAGCCCAATTGATCAGGACTATGTTCAGATTATCATTTAGTGGCATTTGTAATCCTTCCAAATTATTTTTGAAGTTGTCTCCATTAAGGAAAAAAAATGAGAAAGAAACGTGTTTTGTGAAGGGTGGACTGGAAAAATCAAATTGAGGCAGACTGGGAGAAATTATCTTGTAAGAAATCTTCATGGAATGTTGACCTGTTGACCTCCATTCACTTTCCTGCATTATTGATTATAATCATCTTTATTCTTATTGCCTTTATTCTTAACATTTGTTTGATCTTTGGAAAGCAAATGAACAAAAAGTTAAAACCCTCCCACTGTAATATGCTTGCACATTATTTTCCAGCTGATTTGTGTCTGCTTTAAGAATGTTATCAAAATTCTGATCAAGCCCAGCTGGGCAAGACCTGAAAGGAAAAACATTGGAAACTACTTTGTGACAAGATGTAGCCAGGCACTAGCTGAGACTTTCTGTTTATTTAGGCCAGGGGTAGGCAACCTTAGCTCTTTTATGACTCGTGGACTTCAACTCCCAGAATTCCCGAACCAGCCATGCTGGCTCGGGAATTCTGGGAGTTGAAGTACAGGAGTCATAAAAGAGCCAAGGTTGCCTACCCCTGATTTAGGCAAATGGTGGAAGTCAAGGGGGAGCTGAACAATCATTTCCTCAAATTTCTGCTCCAGAACATCCTAGTCCAATGTAATTTTTCTCCACTGAAAGTCTATGGCCCATTAAACAGAAATTGTGGGGAAATCCAAGGCATTGGATTAATACTTGGGATCAGATTTCAACTGATTACTTTGCAATGCTAATTCTCATTATTTTGTATGATTGAAGATATTCAGGAGAAGGCTATTATCCATTTATGCTGGAATAAATAATAAAATCCCCTACTAAGCTACTTAGTGCACCAATTTGATGTAATAGTTAAGGCATCGGTCTAAAAAAACCAGTTCTATGAGAGGTGCTTTCCATTGCCATGCTTTGATTGACAGTTCCATCTCCAATGGTCCCAAATGCCGTGTCCCCAAAGTCTGAGCTGCTTACTCAATGTTACTGGTTGTTTGATGGAAGTCAGGAAGAGGATATCATGAGGACTCCTATTAATTTTAAGTTTCCTCTTTTTGAAATTTGAACCAGTCCTCACACTTTATTTTCTATCGTTCTCATTGCAAAAAAAAGCGAGGGATTTAATTGTAAATTTCCATCGTCATTATTTGCTAGCATAAATGATTAGGAAAAATATTGAGGCATCCATCACACGGTGAAGGGCAACACCAACAATTCTACTGAAATCTATTGTTAGAGGCAGATTTCCTGCTTGCAGTTTATGAATCATGAGTTGCATAATCATGATTTTAAGTTATTGAAGCACAGAATAGGAGCAACTTAATCTTTTCATTCTCCTTTATAGTTTATTACTGTATGCATCAATCAAATAAATGTATGCTTTTCATTATAATTTCAAAGCCGATTATAACTTATGGTTTAATCCAAAATAGGATTTTAAACCATAAAGTAGCAACCACATATTATAAGACTACACAATTGCAACATTTTGAAAGTATTAAGTATGTTGGATCTATAAACTCAGAGAAAATCAAGATTGCTAGAAATATTGCTTCAACATTTATTTCTTTGTTTATAATCTTTATATCCTAATTCCAATTAATATCCCCAAGTACTTTATGAAGAAATTGAAAAAGAATCATCTGTAAATTGTAAGTATAAAACATATATGAAAATGGATGTGAGATAGAAAAAAATCAATACAATAAAAATAAATAAAATCTGTCTCCACCATTCACACAGGGAAGACATAAATGAAAAGACAGGACTTCAATGGACACCTTAATAATATCAGAAAAGAGGGAAACATCCCAAAAAGCTGACATCAGGAAGCCCTGTCTGAGAGTGACTGGGAGATGACAATCCACAATCTGGGGCACCAAAAGTAGAATCTTCCCCAAAGCTCTTAGTCATTAACAGAGAAAGAGCTCCTGATTTCAAGTTATTTAGGTTTAGGAATTTTCTCCATTTATGATTCCATGTGGGTGAAGCATGTATTGAAACAATTTTCTATGACAATCCAGCTTTGTGAACGTCATTCCTGGTCTTTTTAAACTATGCTAAGTGTCTGGGATCCTGGTCTTCTCCTCATGCTTGATCGAATACTTGCTGCTAATTTAAAAAAAAACAAAACTCTCTGTTCTCATGTTGGATTCTAAGCCAACTTTTGATCCAAAAACTTGCTTTTCACCTTATTGGAAATTTTTTCTGCAGCCAGCAAAGTTAATACTTTATGTGTTTCAGAGTTCAGGGCTATTATAGCAACCAGACAGTTTTTATAGTTTGACGTCCTTTTATGAAACCCTATTGTTTTATTTTTGGTAGTGCCCTCAGTAATCTTCTCACCAAAATAGCTGTTAAAATCTTAGTAACAATATTTAGCAAAAAAAGTAGGCATAATTATTATACTAGGTAGGAGCCTTCCAAATTACAGAGATATAAGCTTCATAGAAAGAAGCTGGGAGGACTTTATTTTTGTAAAGTGTCTGAAATACAGGGGGTACCAATTCCATATGGGTTATCCCCTAGGGCTAATCCCATATGTTCCAAGGGCTGATAAAACATATCTGGAATGTCAGTGATTTTCTATAACATTAGGTGTGGAGTCAAAACACTTAAATGTATATTTGAAATTTCTGGAAGATTTATTAAATTTTAAAATTATCTATATAGTTGCCAGTTGTACATAAATTTTGTAACATTCTAAACATTAATAATTAATTTTATTATAATTGATCTATTTTGCTCCTGAAGAACTTTTTATTAAATATATTATTTTACTTTATTACAAATATAAGAAGCCATTCATTTCATAGGTTTTTCTCCCTGTTTCCAACAAATTTGTTACATTTAAAAAAAAATATTCCTTGTCCAAAGGATACAATTGGTTCAACACTAGGTTAGTAAATCTAAATGTATGATATACTTCCTAAAAGATTTTGCAACAGAATCCTTGAGCACTTTTGATTTTTTTTTTACTTCTAATTCAATTTTATCATGTTGTGATGCATGCATCTTTTTCTTCCTGGAGTGATAGGCTAGTAGTGAAATAAGTACTTTAAGAGTAACCCATACTATTCCCATATTAGTGGACTATTCTATTTGTGGAAAAAATGGTATATCTTTCTTTTGCTATTTAACAAAATGTGATTGCTTCAGCAAGGAGAGGTTAAAAAAACCTTCTCCCATGAACTGGGATATTTTTATTCAAAGTCAGTGAATTTACCATGATTACATGGTCAAAAATTAAAACTGTTGCATATCTCATCTAAATTAGCTTCAAAAATAAAAATAATTGAGACTTGAAATGTGCCATAAGGAGTAGATAACACAGTTTGTAGGAATTCAACTATATCTAGATGTGCACTACATTAAATCTTAGGTATATATGCAAAGGATATTGTGACTTTCGACATTTGTTTAGTGCAAGCCAATAATGGATCTAAAACTAAAGGCTTTTTACTTTTTGCTTGACGGCTATAGGCCTCAATAACTTTGGGAGCTACATTAGTCTCCAACTGCAACTCAAAAGGCTGGCTGTTCAAAGCCTCCATTTTTCACCATCTGGATATCTGTGGGTCTACCTTCTCCCTGAAATCTTTGCTTGTCCTTTTAGATCTGGACAAAAAGGCTCCCTCTGGATCCCAACCTTTAAGGAATGGCCTCTGCAGGCCTCTGTGGGGTTGGGCTGTTTCAGTCACCGCCTGAATTTTCTAGGACAACCTCCCTAGTCTGGTATCTGATGGGCCACAACTCCGTTATCTTCCTGTAGAGCTATTAAGATTTGGTTGTTTCAAGAGGTTTTGGGGTCTCGGGGTTTGTTTCTTCTTTCATTGAAGTTGATTGCAGACATGGGCTGTGGGTATTCCTCAGGGCTTCAGAAAGTCATGCATAGTTGGGTTTTTAATTTTACTACTGTTGGTGGGTCTGTAAGCAATCTGGAGTCAGATACAGTTGGAATGGCATATAAAGAGCAGCTTGAATTTATTTCCAAATAAAGGTTTTATAGTAAGTTTGCAAGTTTGTCCCTATTGAAGGTCCATGTCTGAACTAGAACACATTGGGCTTCCTATTATTCAGTATTAATTTCTAATTTTTCCTCTGCTCATCTGTTTAAGTTCATTTTTGCACCAACTGTGTCTGTTTTGATTTCAGGAACTGCAGAAGAAGAGTATGTGGAAATTTGGCCTCCAAATCCTGTGGTGGAATTTGGAGGCTCTCTTGACTTGAATTGCACAAGCACTTGTGAAAATATTGGCATTGAGTCTCCCTATACAAAGGCTCCCATTGAAAATGGATCCAATTGGAAAAGCTTTCGTCTCACCAATGTGAACTATTGGGCAGCCAGCCCTTTGTGCTATGCTGACTGTAAGACTGGACAGAAGAAATCTCCAAAGACAAACATCCTTATTTATAGTAAGTCACTTGCTGGATTGTGTCCATTATGCTCTAGCATTACCCAAACTGGAGAATTTTAAGATGGTTGGACTTCAATCTCCAGAATTCTCCAACCAATATGGCCTTTACTAAGAGTTTTAGGAAGTGAAGTCCACACATCTCAAAGTTACACAGGCTGGTATAAAATGGTATAAAACAATTACCTTGATCCATTCAAAGAATTTGATTTAGAAATTTTTTATTCTCTTCCAGAACCTCCAGACCATATCAAATTGGATACAGTTCCAAGGATGGAGGTGGGCAAGCTGTATAATTTGACATGCCGGGTTTCTGGTGTAGCCCCCATCCGGAACCTCACTGTGACCTTGTTGAAAGGGGAAGAGGAACTTCTGGTAAAGACCTTTGAGGATCATTCTGACCCTAAAGCTGATGATGTTGTGGTGAACCATAACATAACAGCTCAGCAAAATGACCACCACAAGACAGTCACCTGCCAAACATCTCTAGATCTGAATCCAAGTGGACCACTCGTGAAAAACACCTCCCACAACATAACATTAGAAAGTTTTGGTGAGATCTCCGTCATTGCTTCAATCACTTGTTTGGATATTGTTTATAAGCTTTAATTTTTAAGTTGCTTCTCTTAAAATGCATGCCTAAGGGTGTTTGGAGAAGAGATTTTTTATCTTCTGGGATTATTGAAAAATATTGTTGGACTTCCTCCAAAATTTGGCCCAGTCATTTATGCTGATCCCACTGTTTTGATTTTTGTTTGTGTAGATCTGAACTCCCCTAAGGTACTTCAGCACTCACCCCCTGAGGGGCTAGAGAGAGGGTACTATTGTGGCTGTGATTTCTTTTGCAATAACTGACATGATTTCTCTTACTTCATTGGCAGATTTTGCAAAGGCTCCCCTGCTCCATGCTGGCCTGTTCTTAGAAGCTGGGACCGTGATGGAAGTGACGTGTGATGCACCTAAGATTTCCCCAGCCAATGAGGCCATATTTGATCTGTGGTTTGCAGGGAAGTCCCTGAAGTTCAACACCACTGTGATGGGGGGCTTGGCAAGTGCCCAGGCTGTGATAGTCTCTTCCTCAGTTGGAGAACAAGAGTTGATCTGCAAGGTCTCTCTGGGGCCAGTGACCAAAAACGTGACGAAGATGATGAATGTGTTTGGTGAGTCTCCTGTCTGAAATTACTAACACAGACAGATTTAGAAGAGTTTTCTTCCATCTATTTGAACAAACCTAGAAGAAGTTAGAAGTTAGATTGATTTTATTTTGAAAAGCAAAACTTCAATAATGGTTTGGATCAGTCTACCTGTAATTATTAACACAGACAGATTTAGAAGAGTTCCCTTCCATCTGTGATAAGTTATAAGTTATATTGGCCGATCTTGAAAAACAAAACTTCAGTAAAATATTGGATAGTTTAAGTAGCTGAAGTGAGTCCTCTTTGAAACGAATGGAATTGAAAGAGTAAGAAATTTATCCCAGTTGTATTTTCATTGAGACCAAAGAGCAACTATTAAAGGGTGAACCAAACTAATATTCCTATTCAAGTTAAATACGTACAGAACTTGGATCTAATGTAAATCATTAGAAAGAATGAAGCATGAAATATAGTGCCAGGGTTTGGGAAAGCTGATTGCAAATGACTGAGAAACGTAGCTTCCATCGAAGACGTTTTTTCTCATGTTGCCAGCTGACAGTGTCCCTGCATTCCATAAAGATCTAGCTTCAACCCTGGTTTTACAATTTACATTTACATAAGTATGGTAATATAGCAGAGCCAATATTTAAAATATTTTTCTGTGTATTTGTCAAAAAACAAAACAAAATCCTAGCTATCATCTATTCTGGTTTCTGATTTTTAAATTTTAAATCGGTTTTAGTGACAAACTTTCACAGGATGAAAGAAGTAAATGAAGTAAATACACCATTTATTTGCTGGTTTATTTCTATACCCAGGCATCAGGTTGTTGTAATACATGTTGATAGATAAAAAATAGTTTAGAGGGATCAATCTGAGTTAACCAAATATATAACAGAAAAGAGCAAGGAGAAATGGGAAAGAATTGCCATTCTGACCTTGTTTCCTTCTTCGCAACATTTGTGAACCACTCATGTATATGTTCTTCTAAAATATAGTCCTATAGTTTTGGCTCACAAGAAGAATCCTGTGATGTACGTTTGGCTGAGAAAGAGCAAAGAGCCAAAGTCACTTAGTAAACTTCCATAGCTAGGGTGCCTTTGATCACTAGTCTCTCTTGTCCTGCTCCAATATCACAATCATTCTGTCTACTGTATATTTACTGATTGAAAGAAAGGAAAAAAGGACCCAATTTGGGTCAGTTGCCAGGACTAAAGGTTTAGTCTTCCAAGCTTTCGGACTTGTGCTGCAGCCCATCAGGGAACATCTCTCTAACAGAGGAGTGTGCTTTGGGCTATTCTGTGCGTGGTATTTATATGGTGCCTGGTTTTGTGTGGCTTTTTAGTTGCTGATTGGAATGTTGATGGACGGCTATTAAGTCACTGGCTATTGTTTCCTTGTGCTGCCAAGTCTTCACCTCCTAAGTACTTGATAAGCTGGTGGTAAATCAGTACTCCTGCTGACTGATGAGGGACCCAGTTTCTCAAGCTTCAGTCAGTTTCCTGGCTGTTTTTATACCTGCTTGTCCAACATCTTAGTAGCTGCAAAATTGGAAGTATGTCCTTGTTTGTTGTAATGTGAGGCTACCAATGAGTTTGGGTCTCCTCGTCTGACCACTTGGTTGTGTTCTTGCAATTGGGTGGTTAGCTTCCTCCCTATCTGCTCTACATAGTCATAGGGGCAATCCATGCAGAGGATCTGGTAGATTAAATAGGAAGTATCTCCCACCTCCAAGCGATCTTTACAATGCATAATTTGTCCTCATATGGTAGCCTTGCAGATCTCGGAAGCTGCGTTCTATTGCTTTTGAAATGTTTTTGATATATGGGTACCCATTTGTTACAAGATGTCTGCGCAACCTGGTGGGGAGAGAAAGGAAGAAACAAGGTACAACACCAACTACATGGCATAACCTGGCGTAGATCAAAAACATTTTGGAAGCAGTAGAACACCGTTTTCGAGATTACATACCCCAAAAGCATACTCTGCTAGAGAGAAGTTCTCTGAGGATGGGCTCCAGCACGAGTCCAAAAGCTTGGAAAACTAAATCTCTGGTCCCGGTGACTGACCCAGATTGGATTCTGGGACACATATATTTGCCTTCATTTATGAAAGAAAGAAAAAAGATGAAGAAGGCCTTGATGAGCAATTTTTATAATTAAGTTAGCTCACCTGAGTCAGTCCATCTAGATGCATAATCACTGCTCCGCTCTATTCCCTCACAGCTTTACCAAAACTCATCTTGCAGATTGGCCATTCAGTAGCTGTCGTCAATCAAACAGTGAATATTACATGTAGAGCTGATGGCAGTGCTTCCCCTGGTTTTAAAATGCAGATCATGGATGCTGCCAAAATCTTAGCATCCGGCAACAATGAAGAACATTTCCTGCAGCATGCAGTGATTGCTCAGCAAGAGGATAATGGGAGGGAATTCATCTGCCAAGTCATCCTGATCGTTGAAGGGCACACCAAGGAAAGAAACATATCTCAAAATCTCACCGTCTTCTGTGAGTAGGGAAAAAAAATACATGTTATATTCCTAGAGATTTAGAACTCTGAAAGGCTTACCGAATGTGCAGCAGAATAAATGAAGATGCATCGTCACACTGAGTATTATTACCAATGAAATTAACCGCATTTTCTTTCTCCGTTCTAGATGGTCCCCAAATAAATGATTCCAATTGTCCCCATGCATTGACCTGGAAGGAGGGAAGTACGACATCATTTGCCTGTTCAGCCCTGGGAAACCCCACACCAACTGTTCAGTGCTGGAAAGATGGGAGACCTTATAACATTGGGGAACCACAGCTGGTCCAGAGAGAGCACAGTGGCATTTATCACTGCAATGCTACCAACCAGTATGGCTTTGATGTTAGAGATGTGACCATACGCGTTGAATGTAAGTTCGCCTCTTGCTCTAAAGAACAACAATAACCATAATTTGGGGTCTTGTACCACTCAACCAGGGCTATGTTGAAGTTTATTTGTCACATGCAGGTTAGAAGTGCAATCCAATAAAATGTTACTTGACAAAGAAAGCGATAGGAGTTCTCATCTCAGTTGCTGGTATCACTTCCATCTATGACCCAATCCAGAAAGACTGATACTGTTTTTAATGGATATAAGGAAGCATCTACCATGAACTAGTGAAGAGATTCCCTTATGTGTGGATATTAACTGAGTTTCATGCTCCCAAATAATACTTCAGTATCTTTGAGTCACCATTTTATTTTATCAATAAGAGTTTTACTGCTTTCTCAAAATATAAAATACAAAGAGAAATTCAAAAAAGTAATGGAAAACTAGAAGAAGGGGGAGGGAAAAGAAAAGAAAAAGGCACCAACTTCCGACTCTCCTTAGCACAGTAGAAGATACCAATATCACAATCACAACTTTTTACTTTTACACAACAATATGCACAAACCATTTCTATAACAAAAAACCTATCTGTTTAGCAAAAACAAAATCAAATTTTCATTTTTGTTTTTCATTGCAAGCACAAAGTCTGGAAGCAATTTCAAAATAGAAACAAGATTAGATATATTCTCTTCTTTGGACAAAAAAATCAATTTGACCATCTCTGCTTCCCTTTGCTGTGGAGAATAATATATATCTCTATATTTTTTTTCTTCAGTATAAAATTTTATTGTTTTCATCATAAAAAAAAGAAATACATCACAGATATTACACAATGTTATATCCCATCCCCCCGCCCCCCGGACTTCCCAAACCAAACCTAGGCTAATATTCAAATACAAGTAAACAAATATTAATATCTCTAACTCCAAACTCTAAACTTAAACAATCCATCTCCTCCGTATTAATAAAAATTA